ACCCAATCGGTTCCAAGTATTTTTCACGTGATTGAAAAGTTACCATACTTTTCAGCTTGGATGATACTGAAGATATGGGATTGTGCTTGTTGACAAAACACTGTTTGTGAGAATGTGCACACTACCAGTCCATCACGTAGGCCTAATCCCCCAATCTCTGCGCTGTCTCACCTTAACACCTGTCCATACCTTGTTGATGCGCTCCAGTAAGGTCGAGTGCGGTAATGACCAATCGTAGGTAGTGTTGTGTCATGGGAAAACACCTCGAAAGCCTAAATGGCTCTTGTCCTCTCCCGCGTAACAGATAGGCTAACGAAATCGTGCACTGAAGGATACTTTTTTATCATTCCCCTGATGTGTATTTTGCTGATTCAGCTCTTTCATGTGAGTTGGTCTTAGGCAACGGAGCGTCCTCGATTAGTTGAACTTCGTTGCTACTTTCCAGTCCCGTCATTTGTAGGTTTACTGTGCTTCTGAACCCATCTTTTTCCAGATTTCAAATTTTTCTCTCCTTGCCTCAAATTAGGCTTTTCTTCAGTACAGGCATGTTCCACAAATACGTTTAGAAGAACCTACTCAGCGCTGTTGTTTTTGAGCGCACGGGAAGGTCGGCCGTCAGAGTAAGATTCTTGCCCTGGCAATCAGTTATTTTAAGCCATTAGTAGGCTTGTACTTCTATTCACGGTTAATCCAACGCCGCTCACTCCTGGCCAAGGCATGCCATCCAGGTCTTTTGTCAGAAATACTTGCCATATGCTGCGTTAGAATGACTTCCACGTGATCGATCAGTCACGAAAAGAGTAAGTAGATGAAAACGAAAATGGCTTGGAGTGCCGATGAACTTATACTTTCCACACAAGGTACCGCACCAAAATGCCGTATTGGACTGCATTTCTACGGAAACAATGTCGAAAACGGTCAAACGATTTCACATGTATCTTAGTGTGGTGATCCAGTGAGCAGCGGAACGCAGATGAATTGAACTTGAGTACAGCGACACATACAGTAAAAGCACTGGCCACGCGGCGCACAAATGCTCGTTGCGGTAGTGGATCTACACCCGTGTAGACCAGCTGGTTCATTGCCCATACGACCGGTAGCGATATACATTCGACATGTTCAGTAGTCTTATCGTAAAAATATGGGATCTGATACATCAGGTACTTTTCTTAAAGAGAGAACCACACATGGAACAACCGGTGGCATTCAGAAAATTCGTTCGGTCCTCATACTACCTATATTTTTTTAAAAATTCCTTTCCCGGGGCGAGATGGCTCAAGTGGTTAGAGCCCGAATTTACTGACCGGAAGGTCCGTGGTTCGAACCCGACCTCTGCCTGTTGACTTCCCTTGTCTAGGCTTGGGCGACCTGGCAGTATCCCAGCCCTCGTGCAACCTTCGGGTGGCATGACAGTTAGGCTTCGAAAGGATGCCACAGCTGAATCGTATACATAGATATATATATATATATAATATTTATATGTATATATATTCCCTTGTCCTCGGTCCTAATTTCCGAACGGTTTTGATCTTTTTCTTTGTTATTTTGCTCCCTCTGGAACAGTCGACTTCGTAGTGTTTTTGTAAACACCTGTGACGCTTGGGTGAAATTAGTCTTGTAGCATATGCGCCAGAGATGTCACCTTGAATTTTCAGATCATTGGATCGAACATTGTCGTAATACTACCTATCGATCAGTTGAGTAATGAACACTGAATGTATAGGACTGCGCTAAGCAAGTTCGCCTGGCACTGACGGTGGGCTACGGACAGACAGTTAATTTTAGTTATCGATCTCTGGCTTTCCGCTACAACCATGGAAACGGTGCACGGTTATGAGGGGAAGGCTTATCAACGCTCATTGATCATTAGGATAGATGACGCATGAAGTAATTTAGTTTTTTCTGCAATGTACTTGTCGTTTGTTTGTTCATGCGACAGGTGTTCAATGCGTCATTAGTCGGAGTAATAAGCTGAACGGGTGGTAACAACACAAACGATAGAGCTCGGGCGAAATAGAAAACCTGTAACCAGAAGTGGTCAATAGCACGTTCTGTTGTCTAAGTTTCATTTAAAAGGTTTCTATTTCATTTCGGGGAGGGCTCTTGAGCACAAGGACTCTCCTGAAAAGAGTACAACGAAAATTTAGTGAAATATCGAGTACTCAGAGGATTTGGCCCTTCATTGACAGTCACTCATAATCAGGAAATTGTGATCGCGCTGTGTATAAGGACATTTTTTTCATTCTCGATTCGGATTAGCCATCTGCCATCACTGACTCTCTGAAGGACAGTTTCAGACAGAAGGGATCGGATAAGGTCATGATATGCCTGTGTACCGTGGGGTTCCGCTCACATTCCAGAATTGGAAGGAAGCCCTGTGTTTGGCTAGTGAAGCCACTACCATATACCATCGAAGTTTTTGTCAGTCTCCGCTTGTAGACGTATTCAGGAAAGCCCAGTTGAGTGACGCGCAAAATCACAAGACATAAATTGTGGATTCTTGAGATTTATCAAAAGATGCGGTACTACATGTATAAAATACGTAATAAAAGGAGTACAAACCTCAAATTATGGGGGTTTTCGTCTAAACTGTTGCCCGAAGTAGTGCAAGTCCAAAGAAAGCCCGGAGAAGATGGCAAATCGGTCTTAGTTTGTCTGGGTACAACACGCGGTAACGCGAAATGGTCAAAAAGCGCGCATAAAGAATGGCCGACCAAACTGGTCTGACAAGTCAATGGTTAAAGTTCATGAGGGAGTAAAAAATGCGTATCGAATCCATGAGATAGACGCGATAAACAGCAGCAGACAAGGGAAGAGTTTGATCGGGGGAAAGGAAGTACACCGCTCAGCTTGTCTCAATGAGTGTTTGAAGGTGTATGCCTCTCTGTGGTTAATGGGGAAGAGTTTATCGGGGGAAAGGAAGTACACCGCTCAGCTTGTCTCAATGAGTGTTTGAAGGTGTATGCCTCTCTGTGGTTAATGGTAGGCTAGATCCAATTCCCAGTCCCTCATGCTTCTGTCAGTGATGATGAGGGTGTTGAAGAGTTCCAAGAATCCGCATGATCTGTCCCTTCGGAACCTGAGGGTTTAGTGTCTCAAGCTGTCTGATCCTTTCATTTCCTGATCCTATCCACCACTTACGCACAAGGCGACAAATTGACAGTGTATCCTGTCTGCAAGGGAGACCACACTGTTTCATGAAATCGAATCCAAATTTGCATTTGTCTTGGCGTGACCGATGAAAGAACTCACTTGATGCGACACTAAATCACTGAATCGGAATACAAATTTTATACACCAACACAGTCAACAAGGCATGTGAGAAGAACACACGTACGGTGAAATTGGAAATAGTTTAGAGGAGCCATTTTCGTTAATCCAACTTAGGGGGGCCTGTTTTCAGACGGTTCTATTCATATGCTGGTGCAGTCTCACATGACCAGACGTTAACTCACATTATAGTGCTTCAGGTTCGGAGTTCACATGTGGCGTTTGTTTCTTTTCCGTGAAATCTTTTGTGACACTCTCTAGAATAGGTTATCTAAATTCTTTTGTTCCATCTAGAGGAACATTGTGGCTTTCCACATAAATCCCGCCAAATTCATCAGTTTTTTTGGATAGTTTCCAAAGTCACCGTGCTATGACACCCTGAGCGATCGGTTTTTAATCTTGGTGGTACGGTAGCGAAACATCAATGCTGAACACCGGGATGTTGTAGGTGATGATGGTGCTGGTAAAAAAGCCGTTCAGCTGTAACACCCTTCCGGCGCCTAGCTGCCATGCCATCCGAAGGAAGCATGAGTGATGGGTTTCCACCAGACTACCCAAGTCTTGACATGGGAAGTCGAGAGGCACGGACCTTCCGGTCAGTAAATTCGTGCACTTACCACTTGAGCCATCGTGTTGGTGGGGCCTCATTGTACAATATACGTTTAAATCTTATTCATTCTCAGTGTCAACATCTCCAATGAGGTCAGTCTTCAAAATCGCGTTAGGAAAAGAAAAATGGAACTGTACTCTGTTTACTGGTTCTATCCTTAATTTTGACAAACACGACTACTCGGATTATATTACTTCCCTCACGAGACCTCTGTTGGTCAAAATATGTCCCGCGATCGATGGATTTGGACCCCGAATAACTAATCTATTTCTAGATGAGTGCTGTTTATTTATCTTCATCAGATGTGTTAGGAGGTCGGAGCGAGATGGCTCAGTGGTTAGAGCGCGAATTCACTGACCGGAAGGTCCGTGGTTCGAACCCGACCTCTGCCTCTCGACTTCCC